GAAAGAGAAAGAGAAAGAGAGATATACATGGGGACGGGTGAGGGAAAGAGAGTGCGAAGGGAAAGAAAGGAAAGACGTAATTAGGCATAGTCGACAGGGTGACCCAGAAAAGAACTTTTCTTCTAGGACTTGACAAGTAAAAAACCAGTGTGGAAGAGAGAAGAGAAGAGAAGCAATAGGAGGTGGGAGGAAGAAGTGGGAAAGGAAGAAGTGGGAGAGGAAGAATTGTTTTATTATTATTATTATTATTTCCTTTGATTTCTGGTGTACACTCATTTCTTTCCGGGTCCCGACCGAAAACCCAAGGTCAGAAATGGCATGATGACATTTTCCACTGACCAATTAAAAAAAACAAACACACATATTTTACATAGATAAAGTCCTTCGTAAATGTGGGCTGTACACATGAGAACAATAGTTTATATTTCTTTAAGGCATTGGCTTCCAGAAATCCCTTTAATGAGTCTACTGGAATCTTTTCCAACCAATCCGTGGGCTCCAACTACAACAGGGATTGTTGATGTTCCCAGGCTTTATAATTTACATTGAGTTCTCTTTGGATTATTATCCTCCTCTGAATTATCCCTACCCGTGCGTGTGAGTGTGTGTGTTTGCGTGTGCCTGTGTGAAATATTTACATTGCATTTAGTTAGCTTCATCTCAGTTGAAATCTGCAACTGACAAATATCAGCGTCAATAGGCCGTATTTTCTGTTCACATTTCTGAACAATTCGTACAACGATCAGAAACAGCAAAAATAAGAACTACTATCTATCTATCTATCTATCTATCTATCTATACATACATATACATATATTTTGAACAATAAAAAAATATTAAAAAATTAAAATCTTCAGACACACTGGGTTGTAGATTAATATTCTTTTCATTTTTTTATAGATTCCTCGACTAGTTTCGGCCAACATGGCCATCATCAGGAGAAAAAAAAATTCTGTTTGCTAGTAGCAGTGAACTACAGAAATGAATGTCTTGATGGAGAAAATGAACTTTTGTCTGTAGTTTTCATTTGTTTTGTTTTTTTTAATTTTTTTTATCTTTTTAACATGAATCTTTTAACATTCTTTGTGTTGGTCAAACAGTCTCTTTTAAGTTGTTATTTGAGATAAGAGCTGGATGGATCTATACTTCTCTGAATTCCCGTGAATTTATATATATATATATATATATATATATATATATATATATATATATATATATATAAAATGATAAATTTAGAAAATTAAGAAATCACCTTGAAAATTCATATCGGTTATAATTTATTTTGTGAATATTCATGAAATAAATTATGACCTATATAAATTTATATATATATATATATATATATATATATATAATGGACATTGAAGTGAACAGTTAGAGGCTGCAGTATGTTTCATGCTAAAATTAATTGACAATGGCGGCATGAAACAGATGATCACCTCGGGGTGTTGTCTTCACTGTCCACTTGTATATTTACATACGCTCTATCCATGACCCCGAAACCCGGGTTCGAATCTCACCCTGGTCGATTTGTGAGGAAGACTGGATCGAGGTTTGGAAAGTGCCTGAAAGCCATAGCCTTGTGAGTGAAATTGGGTAGATGCTGCCGTCGATAGCTGTGTTTGAGCTTGAGCGTGCTGCCCTTGTTCAAATTGTTGATCACGTTAGATAACACGGTCTCTTCCTGTATAAACCACTGGTATGGTCTGTGGGTGTAGAGCAATCACAAATGTGCCTGAGCGAGAGTCTGCAATAGGGATTGGCTAATCGCTCTAGTAGACAGTTATCCTTCAATACGAGTCTTCAGCTATTATATATATATATATATATATATATATATATATATATATATATATATATAATGTGTAACAACAGAATTGTCCATGTTGTATGATAGCATAATTATCCATCCCAGAAAATGTTTAATATCTAAAAAGATGCTAAGCTAATTGAGTTTTTTTTTCCCATTTTTTAGATGAGACGTTTACCGATCTTGGATCAATGAAAAATACTTTGAGTTATTCAGCTTGAAAGAAAACAGGTTAAAATCGTTTTGTGTCACCCTCAACAAAACCCGTGTTTCACAAGGTGTTTTTTGGTAGGTAATTAATTTGTAGGACTATTCAAGCTCACTTATATAACTTATACAAGCTTTCTTGAATTATTTACCAAACATCACCTGATGAGAAGTTAAGGTCAAAACCCGGTTAGTGAGTTTTGATGGCGAATTTTTAAAATTTTTATAAGCAAACGCATATCTAGGCACGCTGATGGTCTGTGATTCAGCGAAACAGCCTATCAGTTTATTTCTATATACGCTCCTTCTAGTGGGTTGAGAAGAATTTGGATGAAAGAGAATTTGTTGGCTGCTGCTGATAATTAATGCGAAGCTCTTTGCTATGAATTGACCCGGCAATGTATATATATTGTATATAATGTGTTAAAAATTCCCTTTATTCTTAGCGTGCATTGAAGGCCTAGGGGTGAGAGCCTCCGACTGCTATCAAATCGGTCTTGAAGCATTTGCATGTCTCGCTTAACAGGCTGTGTGTGGATGACTATATATATATATATATATATATATATATATATATATATATATATATGTTTATATACATATATCTATCTTCCATTGAAATTTATTTTTTTCAGTTACTAGGTAGCAGCCACACATAGATTTTCACCATCCAAAACACATCCCGAGCAAGGAGTACAGCCATTAGTACGCAAGTTTTACAAAATGTGGAGACTAAAGTTGGTCGGAAAGCATGGAGCTGGGAGGGAGTTTCACAAGCGAGAAGTGCGGGATAAGAAGCTGTTAGCATAGAAGTTGCGGCTACATCTACCTAGCTTAACTGTAAATTGATGAGACCTCACCGCCAATCTAGTACGGCGCTTAAATTCATACAGTCTAGGTACCATAGCGAAGAGCTCATCCGAACATTTACCATAAGAGTATTTATAAAAAGGCGTAGTGAGGGAGCCTCTCAGCGGTTGGCAAGTGATTGAAGCCAGATCAGGACCAATAATATTGCTGATTCTTCTTTGGATTTTATCAAGGAGCTCCATGAAAATAGCTGGAACACCAGATCATATATGACAGCAATATTCGAACCATGGACGAATGGTAGACTTATAGATGTGCAAGATAGATTCTGGAGAGAAATAATGTCTTGCCCGACATAGTATATACACACACACACAGACACACACACACACACACACACATATATATATATATATATATATATATATATATATATATATATATATATATATAATACAATGAAAACTCACAACTATTTAACGAAGGAAACATCAAAACGCTGAGGGAAGCTGAGGGAAACTGAGGGCAGAAGTACTCTTGCTAAAGGATAAGGGGCCCGTTGTAGCAGAATTGCTGCAGGATAACAGGCCCTTTGAAGCAGAATCGCTATAGGATAGCAGGCCCTGTTGTAGCAGAATTGCGACAGGGTAACGAGACCTTTGTAGAAGAATTGCTCCAGGCTAACGGGTCCGTTGTAACAGAATTGATGCAGGATAACAGGCACTTTGTAGCAGACGGGTATAGAATAACGGCTCCATTGTAGCAACGTGTTAGTTGTAGCAGAATTGCTACGAAATAATGGCTCCATTGTAGCAGAATTGCTACAGGATAACGGGTTCTTTGTAGCAGAATTGCTACAGCATAAGGGACGCATTGTAGCAGAATTGCTACTGGATAACGCATCCCTAGTAGCAGGATGGCTGCAGGATAACGGGTCCATTGTAGCAGAATTGCTACAGGATAATGGGCGCTTTGTAGCAGAATTGCTACATGATAACGGGTCTATTGTAGCTGACTTGCTACATGGTAACGATTCCGTTGTAGCAGAATTGCTACAGGATAACAGGCTTTTTGTAGCAGAATTGCTACAGGATAACGTGTCCGTTGAAGCACAATTGCTACAGGATAACGGGCCCTTTGTAGCAGAATTCCTGCATGATAGTGGGCCCTTTGTAGTAGAATTGCTACAGGATAACGGGTCTGTTGTAGAATAATTGCTATAGCATAGCGTGTCTATTATAGCAGAATTGCTACAGGGTAACTGCTCCGTTGTAGCAGAATTGCTACAAGATAACGGTTCCTTGTAGCAGAATTGCTACAGGATAACGGGCCCTTTGTATCATTATCATCTTAAAAGACATAAATAAAATTAAAGAATTAATAAATAAAAAGAATTTTTTGAAGCATTTCACCCCAAGCAAGACGGGAGTGCCCCTAACACGCAAGGGTTTACAGGGAGTGAAAGCAAGAGTAAAGAGGCGTGATAGGGGAAATGGCGAAGAGAAGGACGGGGATGAAGATCAAGTCACCGATTGTCATTAGCTATCAGAGAAGCAAATAGCAGGAAGGGAGTTTCACAGACGGGAAGTGCAAGAGAAGAAGCTGTTGGAGTAGAAGAGGCGGTTACATTTAACCGTTTCGACATTGAAAGGGTGTGACAAATATGACGACGTAGTAGCCCGTTTAAATTCATGCAGTTGAGGTACCAGTGAAAATAGATCGTCAGAGCAGTTGACATGAAAATACTTGTAGAAAAGACAGAGGGAAGCCACAGCACATTGGTGAGAAAATGTCTGTAGACGAGATGCCAGAACAGGACCTATCACATTGCATATCCGTCTCTGGAATTATGTTCTGGCTTTAAATAACCTGCAATGGGTTGATAAGCTGTAAAAACAAACAAACAAATTAATCAGATAATAAAATATGTAAAAATCAAATTAATCAAATAATAAAATATGCTTCTTAAGTTGAGATTTCAAAGTGCATGCAATTTCATAAAAAGAAATGACTGAGTTAATAAAAAAAAGGTCTTGTATCGGTAAGTCATTATTATCTTAAAAGAACAAATAAAAAGAATAAATTAGGTTCTGGCTTTAAATGACCTGTAATGGGTTGATAACCTGTAAAAGAAATGACTGCAGTGTTTTGATATCTACCCAGAAAGAACGAAATGTTATTCCTCTCTTGCAGACAGATGAGGCTGCCATTTCAATTTCTGTACTCGTTCGTAGAATCGAAGCGGGAAAGGTATATTTTATTTTCTGTTGGCCGACAGCTCCTACGATAATTAAGATCACTCCTTTATAAATTTCACATTCCCCACCCCCAGAGGTCAAACAGTATGCAGTACTTGTTATAGTTGGGTCATTTTTGACTAGTACGCTTCTATAATTGTCCGAATAATTAGTAATGCCCGATAGTTGCTTTGATTTGCCTTTCATTGCATCGTCTACAGAGTGTTCCCAAAGTCGCGTTACCATTGATAAACAAACAAGAAATTATAACATGGATATAAAGTGGGGGATCAATTCTATATTACAATCGATATCATTTATTTTAGGATATTAAAATATGTTAAAAATCGCTACATGATGGCAATTATGTTTCAGCACTATAAATGTGTCTCCTGGGTGGGGGGATGTTAAACTACTGGCGAGTGAAAGATTTGAGCCCTCTTTTAAATTAAATGTTACGTACAGTGGATCTATACTCCATTTGTTCTCATTTTACCTGTATATTACAATCTATATACAAACGGCAATAGGGTTAACCCATGTTATGGTTTCCAGGTATTTTACAAAGGTGCAGCGCGCTGGGATCGCCTCCCTCGGGTCAATATTATCAAGAAATCACTTCCCTGATGAATCGAACAGGGTGAGTGTCGCGTGGCCAGAAAAAAAAAAACTGGTCATGCCTGAGAGTTGGCCACCTCGGTGTGGTGTAATGGTTAGCAAGCTTGTCTCGCTAGAACATGTTACGGCTGACTAGTGAGTTCGATCCTCACTGGTTGCTCTATATTTCCGGCCATGTGCCACATCTAAGCAGCGCTTAGAAAATCACTATATGCCTGAGAGTAATTGATAAATACAGTGTTCTAAAAGTTGCATTAGCATTGATAACCTTGTGAATTTTATATTTATTTATCAAATAGAATCATTTTTTTGTAGGTGACGATATTTATTAAATCTAGGACACTAACCATCCATTAACGTTACACAACTACTAAGCATAGGTATATCATACCCATGGTTAGTGTTCCAGGGTTAAAGGTGAGCATTATGAGATATCAAAATCTGAAATGATTTTGTTACGATTAAGTAGCGAGTTCCATCCTCATTGGGTGCTCCATACTTGTGCCACATCTAAGCTACACTTAGTAAATCACCATATATGCATCAACATATTGAAGGACATCTATTTGGCTTTAATCTTAGAACACTAACCATCAATTAAAGTTGCACCACTACTAACCATATATATATCATACCCGATTTTGAAAATATCAAATATATATATATATATATATATATATATATATATATATATTTTATATTAAATATAAATCTTTATTTGAAATATTTTACATGCAGGCACTTCAAACTTTGTACTTTGAGTTAACATTAAAAGGAACTGAAAAAAAAACATTATTTAGGTAAGAAAATCAGGTACTAAAAATTGTAAATAAAAATAGGAAAATTTGCGCTGTGTACTATATACCTATGGTTACTGTTCTAGGGTTAAGAAATTTTATTGGTCGAATTATGGAAGATGATGTCATGCAAATTTTCTTTGGTTGCTGTTTCAGAAGTGCACGTTTTCTGCCAATTGTCGCGTGACTTCTTGGTTCATATTATTTTACCCTATTCTTTTATTTATCCTCTTCGTATTGTTATTGAGAATTTTGTCAATTCTGCTAAGCCATCCCTGTTTCCTCAAGTTATGCCGACAGGATGTTTTACTTTGTAGGTTTGACAACATGATTTTATCAAGGTATTAAATCTAAGTGAACACAAATAATCCAAAATCAGACTTCAAAGCTATTCCGTTTTCTATTTATGTAGGGAAGAGCGAATTCATGACTTTCCTAAGGGTATTAAGACTGCATGAACATTAACATCCCTAAGTATCAAACCTATTCTGCTTACCGTAAAAGTAGAAAATAATGGATTTATGTGTTTCCGAAGGATATTAAGGCTAAATACAAATAAACATCTCCAACAAAAAATTCAAACATATTCTGTTTTCTATGAAAGCAGGGAATAATGGTGTTATGCCTTTCTCTAACACCTTAATATAATAGTAAGAAATCATAAATAAAATTACCCAAACATTAAAATAATTCTGTTAGATACGAATGCAGGGAAAAGTGGATTCATGTCATCTTAAGGTCATCAACAACTCAGTCAAAATTCAAATCTGTCTTATTTGCCATGAGTGTAGGGAGAAATTTTTCATGCCTTATAACGAGCATTAGAGCTAAATGAAGATAAACAGCCTCATCAAAATTTTAAACTGATTCTAAATTCCATCTGTGAAAGGAAAATTGGTTTCATGCCTTTCCCATCGTCATTAGCGCTAAGAGTACGTAAACAGCCTAAACCAAATTCAAACAGATCTTGATTCATATGAGAACAGGGATATGCTTATTCATGCCTTTTCCAAAGGCGCAAGTTCTAGGTGAACATAAAATGTTTTAATCAAATTTCAAACCTATTTTGTTTACCCTGAGTGTAGGGAGATTTGGGTTCATGCTTCTTTCCGAAACTCATTAGCGTTAAGAGTACACAAACTAAACATAAATTTAAACTGATTCTGTTTGTCGTTAATGCAGGGATAGGTCAGATTCATGCCTTTCCTAAACGCATAAACGAGTATTCAAAAAAATTCACGCTGATGCCGCCTTTGCATGAATATAGGGATAAGTGAATTCATGCCTTTTGTCGAGTTATTATTCCTAAGTAAAGAAAAGCAGCCTCTGTTTAAATTCGAACTTGGGATGCCGATTTAGTTTTTCATAACCCTTTAACTATCTGAACTTCTTAATTTAAGATACAAATAATTTGAGAGACCTCTTTATGGCGTCCATCAGTATGGCTGATGCTAACCCCCAGGAAAGTGACACGTTGCACCTTCTCGAGCTTACAGTCCCGACTGACACGAAGTGGAAAGTTTACATTAAATTCATTGCGAGTTTTACTGTCTCGATAATAAGTTTGATCGGTTCGATAAGATGAAAGTGGCAGGTGATTTAAATGACCTACCATTTGTTGTTAACTGGGGCAAAGAGTGTCTTGTTCATTTTAACGCTTCCAAAACGATACTTGAGAGTGACTCATTGCGTCTTCTCGGTTTAACACTCTCACGTGACATGAAGTGGAAAGACTATATTGAATCCATTGCTAGGTCTGCTGCTAGGAAAGTTGGTTCATTGTGTTATGCTAAACAGTTTTTCTCTCCAGAATCTATCTTGTATATTCATAAGTCGATAAATCGTTCATGGTTTGCATACTGCTGCCATATCTGGTCCAATACTCCCTCTTGATAATTAGATATCCTATATATAAAGTACAGTATCTGTCTGTATTTCTGAGATGAGGTATTATGCACACTATTTACATTATTCGGACTATTGTCCTCATCTTTGTCGCCATATTTATTACAACGTTTCGGCCCTTCAGTAATTGTCTATATTTCTGAGATGAGGTATTATGTACCCTATTTACATTATTCGGACTATTGTCCTCATCTTTGTTGCCATATTTATTACAACGTTTCGGCCCTTCAGTATTTGTCTATATTTCTGAGATGAGGTATTATGTACACTATTTACATTATTCGGACTATTGTCCTCGTCTTTGTCGCCATATTTATCACAACGTTTCGGCCCTTCAGTAATTGTCTATATTTCTGAGATGAGGTATTATGTACATTATTTACATTATTCAGACTATTGTCCTCATCTTTGTTGCCATATTTATTACAACGTTTCGGCCCTTCAGTAATTGTCTATATTTCTGAGATGAGGTATTATGTACATTACTTACATCATTCGGACTATTGTCCTCATCTTTGTCGCCATATTTATTACAACGTTTTGGCCCTTCAGTATCTGTCTATATTTCTGAGATGAGGTATTATGTAGACTATTTACATTATTCCGACTATTGTCCTCATCTTGCCATTGTATGCTCTGGCCCCTAAAACTAGGATAGGCGGGTACAAGAGGAGGACAACAACACTCAGAAAACAGTCTGCTTGCCTTTTGTGAAGGGGTTATCAGAAAAAATACAAAGGATTTGCGGTCCATATAACATCAGGAGAACCTTCAAAAGCTGGACGACACTTGGCAGATATCTCCTTCGAGTAAGACCCCCCCCAGTAGAGGAGAACATGACTAAGTACTGTGTGTACGCTATCCCGTGCAGCTGCGGAAAGAAATATAAAGGGATACAGGCCGCCCCCTTAAGGTAAGGCTTCAAGAACACCAGAAAACTGTAACACGAGGGGAAGTGGAAAAATCAGGCGTGGCTGACCACATATGGAGAGAAAAGGGAGATCACCGCCCTCTGTGGGATCAGGTTGAGATCATGGACAAAGAACACTATTGAAAAATTCGTAAAATTAAGGAATCCACAAAAATCTCCTGAGCCGACCAAGCATAGAAATGAATACAATATGGGAACCAGTAATAAGGAGTGCCAGAGAAAAGCGATAATAACAACAAAAATTGCAGTTGCTCTGGTAAAAACATTTAATGATAACAGCAAAAAATGCAATATGAGGACTTGTAAAAGATTGGTGGCTAAAGTCATTAGGTTTATAATACCCCAAAATTCATACACAGATGTCCTCAAGGACACATGACACAGTGGATAATGCCGTTAGTTATATCCAGTGACAGGACCCAAAGAGGGTCAGTTCAATACCCGGTTAAGACAGTGGAAAACTTGGAGAGGGGAATTAACAGGAGATAACTGACAATACACAAACATGTATAATGTTCGATGACATCCGAATTAACTAGAACAGTCTATTAGAACAGCCTACCCCAATGAGCGAAATAAAGGGTTCAGTTCGATATTCCAACCATGAAGAAGATCGGAGCGTACAACGACCGAAACGTTGTAATAAATATGGCGACAAAATAATGCAAATAATATATAAAGTACAGTGTGTGTGTATGTGTCCAAGCAACTCCTCCGCTCCCACTGGTCCGATTTCAATGATTCATTAAAATGCCCTAGAAACGTTAGATTGTGGTAATTATATTAATATTTTATACTATCCATTATCATGGTACAAAGAGAGTAACTCTTAGTTTACATTTGTATCCAAAATTAACTATAATAAATCAAATGCTAAATATGCTACAAAGAAAGTTCATTGTGTAGTTCTAGACAATTTTTTTTTCCAAAATTTTGTCTTACATGTTTACATGTCTACTATTCATCCGCACTTTGAATATTACTGCCACATATGGTCCGGTGCTCCTGCTGTATATTTAGAGAATCAGCAATATTATTGGTCCCGACCTGACATCTCAGTTTCAGTCACTTTCTCACCTTCGTAATATAGATTCCTGTGCCTTTTCTATAAATACATTTATGGTAATTGTTCTGATAAACTTTCCTCTATGGTCTCATCATTTTACAGTTGAAATGGCTAGATGTAACCATAAGTTCTATGCTAACAGTTTCTTAATCTGATAAGTATGTTCATGGTAATTATTCTGATGAGCTTTCCTCTTTGCTACTTAGACTTTATGAATTTAAGAGCAGTACTAGATTGGCAGTTAGGTCTCATCATTTTACAGTTGAATTGGCCAGTAAGTAAGTTCCATGATAACAGTTTCTTTTCTTGCACTTCTTGCTTGTGGAACTCTCTTAGGGTTTCTTTCTTTGTTGACAAGTTTGATCTGTAAAAGTTTAAATGCAATGTCCGTTGAAACACTGGTTCCCGTTCGATTACCGAAGTTAAGCAACGTCTAGCCTGGTCAATACATAGATGGGTGACCGCTGGGGAATACCAGGTGCTGTAAGCTTGGAGGTGCGTGTGGTGTAATAGATAATGATTCGGAATTATTAATCGGGTAGCCGAGTTCCCGTACAATCATTGAAGTTACGCAACGTCCAGCCTGGTCAGTACTTAGATGGGTGACCGCTTGGGAATACCAGGTGCTTTAAGCTTGGAAGTGCGGCTGATGTAATGGATAACGGCTCGATGACTGGAAATCGGAGAGCTGAGTTCTAATTTCTGTTGGGTTCGTTGTATTAATTTACGTACAAGTACCTTGGGAAAGGCGTAAATCCAGATGTCCTTCCCCTAGTTATGGGCTAATTAGTAAAATTTGCACCACTAAAAATATTATATCCCTAAAAAATAATATTTCGGCATTAAATAACAGAGTTGTTGATATTCCCCTAAAGAAACCAAATGCAATGTGGGTCGTTATCAATTATTTTCTTAATCCCCGTTCTTTTATTATCCTGGTTCCTTTTTTCTTATTCTTTCATGCTCAGTAATCCCTAGTGTCTTAGTGGCTTTATTGCCTTGCTTAAGGTGAAATGATTGAAAAAGAAAGTGTATTGCCGTTATTTTTTAGTGTATACGTTTTTTTTTGTTTTTTTTTTTAAGAATCAGAATAAATATGTTATAATCTACTTTGGGAATAATGAACATCTAATCAATAAGAGGAAAGGACGAAAGGGACGGTGATATGTTGACACCTTTTGTAGACTTGCGAAAACGACAAAGACAGGAGACTCTTCTGCTTTCTACCCGAGTCAAGGGTTGGAGAAATTCTGCGAGAGCACTTCACACTGCCGAAACGAAGTCGGAAAGTTTCTCTTCATATCTCCTTGCTCTCCGCCTTGCTCTTCGTCTTGCTCTCCGCCTTGCTCTCCGTCTTGCTCTCCGCCTTGCTCTCCGTCTTGCTCTCCGCCTTGCTCTCCGTCTTGCTCTCCGCCTTGCTCTCTGCGTCTCTTGACACATCTCTCTTGCAGTGTCTGCTCCGCAAGACTCGTTCTTGGTCTTGTCTCAACCCTTCACCATTCCGTAGCCTCTCTAATTGGGCAGCAGCAACGCTGCCCAATCGTTATCATTTGCCCATCTCATGTGCCTCTCACACCTCGCATGTTCTCTCCCCGCACTGCTCCGTTCTCACACCTTCCATACATCTCCCTTTACTTTCAACGACACATTTCATTGCAACCCCCCCGCCCTTCAATTTAGCGGATTCTTTACAATGCCCAATCCGCGCGTTTTCAAGACCTGTCCCAACCCTCGCTTGTGTCCTTATATATTTTTTTCTTCATTTTTTTTCCCTCGTTTATCGCCGATTCGGTCCTCCTCCGATCGACATTGTTTTTCTTTGCTACCATTGCTGCAGTGACTACTAGCGCTAATGCTGCTGCTACAGCTGCCACTGTTTTTACTCTTTTTCTCTCTCACAGTCGACCTCTTTATCCTTCCCTCGGGCGGTAGATACCCAAGAATGTGGGGGATGCGGGAGAAGAAACGGATAGACGGTGAAAGAAAGGGTAAAACGTGAAAGAGAGAGGGTGATAAAGAAAGAATGAAAGAAAGAAAGAATGAATGAAAGAAAGAAAGAAAGAAAGAAAGAAAGAAAGAAAAAGAAAGAAGGAAAAATATACTAGGACATAAGTCAATA